GTTTAGTATTTTAAACTTCGTTTAACAAAACGGTGAAATCGACCCTAAAAGTAAAAGTTTATAAAATTATTGTAACAAAATAGCTGTTGAGACAAAAAGTAATCGAAACAGCCTAAGTACTTTTTGCTCAAATTACACACAATATTTTTCTACGATCACACCAAAATAAAATAAATAATTAAATTTTACTAGAAATGGGTTACCTTTTCGTTCGTTATAATATTTTAAGTTTATTTGACATAAGCCTACTCTTCGAAGAGAAAAAAATGTTTTGGTACTTATAGTCGGTAATTATTTATGATTTAATTATTTATGGAAAATACTGTTTAATGATTTAAAATATTAGGAAGTCAATTAATAGCTATTTATGTAACCAGTTACTTACTTTGTGTAACGAGTAAATATTTGCGGGACAAGTGGAGCGAGGTCCCGCAAAATGAAGGAGTTACACAAAATGGCATTTCGTAACGTGTTTACAAACAAGATTTTTTCTAATTTTGACTTGATTATTTATAAAATTGTGTTGAAAAATGATTCCAATCAAATATTTTAGAAAATTGTTGTATTTGATTGCCCTGGGACGGTTTATTTTTTAATAGTAATAATAAAAATAAGGGACATGTGCAGTGTTGCCGATCTGATTTTTGACATTACCCGCGGGAAATTTGACAAAAAAACGTTTTTACCCATTATTCGTAAAGGAGTACGTCAAAATTTTACCCACAACATTTCTGGGCAGTTTTCAATAACGGTGTTCAATTATTTAAAAAATAAAACGCAATTTACAGCTTTTCTTTTTTTTTGTTTTCTTTTTTGTTGTTAAACGTAATGTCATATTTTCAAATGTGAAATGTCACTATTCATTGCCTTGTTTTCGATTTCTGGTTTTTCGATTTTTCGATTTTTCGATTTTTCGATTCTTCGATTTTTCGATTTTTCGATTTTTCGATTTTTCGATTTTTCGATTTTTCGATTTTTCGATTTTTCGATTTTTCGATTTTTCGATTTTTCGATTTTTCGATTTTTCGATTTTTCGATTTTTCGATTTTTCGATTTTTCGATTTTTCGATTTTTCGATTTTTCGATTTTTCGATTTTTCGATTTTTCGATTTTTCGATTTTTCGATTTTTCGATTTTTCGATTTTTCGATTTTTCGATTTTTCGATTTTTCGATTTTTCGATTTTTCGATTTTTCGATTTTTCGATTTTTCGATTTTTCGATTTTTCGATTTTTCGATTTTTCGATTTTTCGATTTTTCGATTTTTCGATTTTTCGATTTTTCGATTTTTCGATTTTTCGATTTTTCGATTTTTCGATTTTTCGATTTTTCGATTTTTCGATTTTTCGATTTTTCGATTTTTCGATTTTTCGATTTTTCGATTTTTCGATTTTTCGATTTTTCGATTTTTCGATTTTTCGATTTTTCGATTTTTCGATTTTTCGATTTTTCGATTTTTCGATTTTTCGATTTTTCGATTTTTCGATTTTTCGATTTTTCGATTTTTCGATTTTTCGATTTTTCGATTTTTCGATTTTTCGATTTTTCGATTTTTCGATTTTTCGATTTTTCGATTTTTCGATTTTTCGCTTTTTCGATTTTTCGATTTTTCGATTTTTCGATTTTTCGATTTTTCGATTTTTCGATTTTTCGATTTTTCGATTTTTCGATTTTTCGATTTTTCGATTTTTCGATTTTTCGATTTTTCGATTTTTCGATTTTTCGATTTTTCGATTTTTCGATTTTTCGATTTTTCGATTTTTCGATTTTTCGATTTTTCGATTTTTCGATTTTTCGATTTTTCGATTTTTCGATTTTTCGATTTTTCGATTTTTCGATTTTTCGATTTTTTGATTTTTCGATTTTTCGATTTTTCGATTTTTCGATTTTTCGATATTTCGATGTTTCGATTTTTCGATTTTTCGATTTTTCGATTTTTCGATTTTTCGATTTTTCGATTTTTCGATTTTTCGATTTTTCGATTTTTCGATTTTTCGATTTTTCGATTTTTCGATTTTTCGATTTTTCGATTTTTCGATTTTTCGATTTTTCGATTTTTCGATTTTTAGATTTTTAGATTTTTCGATTTTTCGATTTTTCTATTTTTCGATTTTTCCATTTTTCGATTTTTCTATTTTTCGATTTTTCGATTTTTCGATTTTTCGATTTTTCGATTTTTCGATTTTTCGATTTTTCGATTTTTCGATTAATCGATTTTTCGATTTTTCGATTTTTCGATTTTTCGATTTTTCGATTTTTCGATTTTTCGATTTTTCGATTTTTCGATTTTCGATTTTTCGATTTTTCGATTTTTCGATTTTCGATTTTTCGATTTTTCGATTTTTTCGATTTTTCGATTTTTCGATTTTCGATTTTTCGATTTTTCGATTTTTCGATTTTTCGATTTTTCGATTTTTCGATTTTTCGATTTTTCGATTTTTCGATTTTTCGATTTTTCGATTTTTCGATTTTTCGATTTTTCGATTTTTCGATTTTTCGATTTTTCGATTTTTCGATTTTTCGATTTTTCGATTTTTCGATTTTTCGATTTTTCGATTTTTCGATTTTTCGATTTTTCGATTTTTCGATTTTCGATTTTTCGATTTTTCGATTTTTCGATTTTTCGATTTTTCGATTTTTCGATTTTTCGATTTTTCGATTTTTCGATTTTTCGATTTTTCGATTTTTCGATTTTTCGATTTTTCGATTTTTCGATTTTTCGATTTTTCGATTTTTCGATTTTTCGATTTTTCGATTTTTCGATTTTTCGATTTTTCGATTTTTTCGATTTTTCGATTTTTCGATTTTTCGATTTTTCGATTTTTCGATTTTTCGAATTTTCGATTTTTCGATTTTTCGATTTTTCGATTTTTCGATTTTTCGATTTTTCGATTTTTCGATTTTTCGATTTTTCGATTTTTCGATTTTTCGATTTTTCGATTTTTCGATTTTTCGATTTTTCGATTTTTCGATTTTTCGATTTTTCGATTTTTCGATTTTTCGATTTTTCGATTTTTCGATTTTTCGATTTTTCGATTTTTCGATTTTTCGATTTTTCGATTTTTCGATTTTTGGATTTTTGGATTTTTCGATTTTTCGATTTTTCGATTTTTCGATTTTTCGATTTTTCGATTTTTCGATTTTTCGATTTTTCGATTTTTCGATTTTTCGATTTTTCGATTTTTCGATTTTTCGATTTTTCGATTTTTCGATTTTTCGATTTTTCGATTTTTCGATTTTTCGATTTTTCGATTTTTCGATTTTTCGATTTTTCGATTTTTCGATTTTTCGATTTTTCGATTTTTCGATTTTTCGATTTTTCGATTTTTCGATTTTTCGATTTTTCGATTTTTCGATTTTTCGATTTTTCGATTTTTCGATTTTTCGATTTTTCGATTTTTAAAAATTTAAATTTAGCACTTTTCCTACAATTTTTCTATTAGAAAAATCATGTATAAACAAAAATTATAGAGATCGATATCGCAAATAACTTTTAGTTCAACAATTTTAATAAAAATCAGAATTTTGCACATTTTGTCAAATTTCTCGAATACGGACCATTTCAGGAAATTTTGACACAAAGCAAAAATTATAGATAATAATATTAGAAGTAACTTTTATTTAAACAATTTTCTTCTCCAAACATAAATAACAGATATATTCCATAAAATATAAGAACGGCCTCTCATAAAGTACCCCCCTAGATGTTCCGACTTTGTCCAAAATTTAATAATTTTACGTCAGGCCGAAATAAAACTTAAAAGTTTAAAATTTAATGTTTTTCTGTGTATCGGTTCATAAGTTATGGTGGATACAGACACACAGACACACAGACACACAAACACACAGACACACAGACACACAGACACACAGACACACAGACACACAGACACACAGACACACAGACACACAGACACACAGACACACAGACACACAGACACACAGACACACAGACACACAGACACACAGACACACAGACACACAGACACACAGACACACAGACACACAGACACACAGACACACAGACACACATACACACAGACACACAGACACACAGACACACAGACACACAGACACACAGACACACAGACACACAGACACACAGACACACAGACACACAGACACACAGACACACAGACACACAGACACACAGACACACAGACACACAGACACACAGACACACAGACACACACAGACACACAGACACACAGACACACAGACACACAGACACACAGACACACAGACACACAGACACACAGACACACAGACACACAGACACACAGACACACAGACACACAGACACACAGACACACAGACACACAGACACACAGACACACAGACACACAGACACACAGACACACAGACACACAGACACACAGACACACAGACACACAGACACACAGACACACAGACACACAAATATTTGTTTTAAAACATGACATATCATGGCCCTTATTGAATAATTTAATCGGCAACTCAGGCTGAAAATTGCCCAAGAACATAATTTGTTGTTAATATATTTTTGATTAATTCCAAAGATTCCTTGCAAGAATTATCCCAAATCCATTTCACCCATAAAAATAAAATAAAAAAAGTCCCCAAGTAAAATCATATCCTCCTTCCTCTTAGTGACTTAGTGAAAATTACTTCTTAAAAAGGAAGGTCTTCAAGTCAGGTCCCTCCATTTTGTGGCGATAGTACTGTTTTTTTTTATTATGATTATTTTCTTCGCGGAGCCCTCACAAAGGCTTTGCGGAGCCCCAGGGCTCCGCGGAGCTCACTTTGAGTAACACTGGTATAGAGAAATACTAAATAAATACTTTTAAAAAAACTATTGAAACCAGTTCTGAAGTTTGAAACGAATAAATTGGCAATGAAATTGATATTTTTGTATTTGATTGTATGTTACTCTTTACACTTCCTGAAAAAGGATTCCCCATGAAACAAGAAATAGTAAACAGTTTATAATAATAACCTTTATTTGCTATTTATAACATGTACCAATGACCAAGTCCGATTCTGTTTATTTTCAAATCAACAAATATGGCCATCGACAGAATCTTTAAAAATTAAATAACTCACCGAAATAAATGTAAGTTTCTTTTATCTCCGTCACATTTCGCACTTTTATTATAAATAAAGCTTTTTACAACACATCTTGGCATTTTCAACGTTCATTTCTAAGATTTAAGTCACTAAGGTCCGATTCCACCGTTGTGTTAAACGGAGATTTAAATGACATTGTTAATGTAAAAATGTCATTTTAAACTTCGATTAACACAACGGTGGAATCGGTCCTTAAATACCAAATTAATTCTCGTTGACACATTAAATTTGGATGAACAACGCTCTGACATGTGATATTCTCAACTGTGATTGGTGGGTGTGAATAATTTCGAAGTGGGATTATGCGCAGTGTCTTATGTTCCATCTAAGGGTTGTATAATCTAAGATTGAGTTACACGTCTCGCTGGGTTGTCTCTGTTATAATATTTATACTATTGAGAGAACTAAACTAACAAACATTTGAAATTTAAGCAAATCAATGGCTAATATTATCTTCGTCTAAGCAGTATCCACAAAAAAAATATAATAAATGGTAAACATAAACATTCCATTCTTAATTTTTTCTTTGTGAAGAGGTTTCAAGCAACCTTTTTAGTTATCCAATTTAATATCTCCTTTCTTCCTTCTTCAGTAATTGCGCTGTATTCAGTAATTTCGATTTTTTGTCTTAATTCTTTCTGCAATCTCTTCATTTGCAGCATAAGCAAAGCTTCGTTCCGCATTTGCCTATAGCTTACGTCCATTTTAGTCAACACTAATAAAATCTAAAAAAATAATGCAATCCTATGTTTTTAAATGTTTTTAAATTTAACCGAAACAACTAATAATGCGTTTGTGGAGATACAGTAGCTTTCCTTTATTTATAAAGAGCCTCTTTTGAAATTTCTGCTATTTGAAATGTATTTTTGACAAAACTGTGTATCGTCGTTGATATTGCAAGACATGCTATGTCTAAAAATTCAACAATTTTATTGTTTGAAAATATGCAACCAACTGTCCTCCATGAATTGAAAATTATACTTTTGTATCTTTTATGTCAGTACTCCATATCAAAAATGCATTATATCTGGCAATATGAACTACGTAGGAATTGTTATGTAGTACCTACTTATTAGCGTTTTATAGTATCCTCTAAAATTTATTTTTCCTTAAATAGCTCGTAGTGCAGTATCAACGATAATATAACAAAAAATTCAGACTATAGTTTTGTTATTGATTAAATATCGAAACTGATGTTTCATCACAAAAACGTTTTTAGGATAAAAAGGGATTTAATAAAAACGAAAAAAGAATACCGGTCTGTACCTCAAAGGAAGTTGATGATAGTTCTTCAATAAGGAAATATCTTGAATGTGTCTTCACTATATTAAGCAGAGGTAATAACCAAACACAAATAAATAAAGGCGGTATATTAATTGTATATTACGTAGTTGTAAGTAACCCATTACGCACGAAGTGAAAAAGTTTACGGAACGAAGCTGCGCAGCGGCTAGTCCGTAAATTTCACGAGTGCGTAATGGGCTTACAACTCGTTTAACGTACTATACTTTTTCTACGCTCACTTATTTTCTTCTGTTAAATAAAGGACATATATGATTGTGTTGCCAATCCATAAATTTTCGATAGATAATTTTGTACCTTTCTTTGGATTTTAAATAAAATTAAATTTTAAATAAAGTTAAGAAAATGTTCGAATACAATATTTTTTTACAAAAATTGACAATATAAATGATAAGTCGTTTATTTCCATAGCATGCTAAGAAAACGCGACATTTTTTGAAAAATTGTATAATGTTTTGCCGACATTTAGGGGCATCACTTTTTTAATCCAAAATTTATCTCACTAATGCTAAAAGTTTTTATGTTTTTCAATTGACTAAATTTATGTAAATAGACCAAATAAAGTCGTACGTAGATAAAAATTTGATTGCAATCTGATTAAACTAAGAAATTTAAGTTTTCTTATTAAAACGCACTTGTATGTTATGAGATCTCATTACGTGCATGTTATTGTTAAATGTCATTTACAAGGAATCTGGACAGTGCAAGTTTTAACGTTTACTGACATGGGCGTAGAAAAAAATAAAAAATGCGTTTCATTTGACTTATTTCAAATGTATTAAATGCTTAATTATCTAAGCAACTTATTAAAAAATAATTAAAAATAATTAAAAATAAATAAAGTTCGTAAAGTAGGTACCTACTGTATGAACATTTTGGAAAGTACTACATAGCAAATAACTTATTTAGTAATTAATTAATTACTTACTGGTACATTTTTTAACACTGGATTAACCAAGACGGTATACAAAAGAACACAAGCCGCTGATATTTGACACAAATTTGATACATCTACTACGTAAATGACTTTTTTCACGCCTCCAAAATATTTAGGCCACAATGGAGCCATGCAACCTCCTATTTCTCTGATTTGGTATTTCTTTTCGTCAATTTTAATACTGAAAATATCTGTTCCGGTGGTCGATACAGCTGTTGTAGTGTTATCAATGCTTCCACTATTTTTTAAACTTCTTAGAAGCAAAGTTTTCCCAGATCCCACTGGTCCAAGGCAAATAATCATTTTTTTAACAAAGATGTGATAAAGTTCTTATACGAGTATTGACTGAACGTATCTATGGCAAAGTTTGATCAATGTTTGATCTTTAAAACGGAATTACACTTTAACATAGGCGTAGTTATTTGTTATTTTCTGCATTGATTTAATTAGTAATTCTGTATGAATTGTAAATGTTGTCTCAAGTTTAATCTGGACAACAAAAATATAAAAAAATGGTACAAACTTTAGAATAATTATTTGTATTATTATGGAGGAATAGTGACGCGAAGTCCGATAAATCAATAAGGAAGGAACACTTTTTTAATTTAACACGGCTGGTAAATATTCGGGATTCGCGACCTGCATATTACACTTACAAGCCGAGGTGCTTACGGCGTTTTTGTTGTATTGTACAACTAGGAATATTCAATTAAAACTAAAATTTTATGTTTTATGATCTGTCAAATATATTTAATAGTTAACTTCTATTTGGCGTGTGTTTTTTTGCTTTGGATATTGAATCCTTTAGCCGCACACAATATTTAATTATTTAATTGAATAATTAACGTAATTAAATGGAAATTTTATTTATTAAGATAAATTCTACTATTAAGTTGTAAATCTCCTTAATCTCCGTTGCTAGTGAAACTTGAATGTTGGTGGGAAATTGTAAATTTAATTTCTTTAGTTTGTACATGAAGTTAGCAGTTCCTGGATTTATTATATAATTAAAAAACAGGTGATTCAAATCAGCAATTCATTATCATGTTGACAAATAGGCGACTCTATTACTCCTATCTTATGCAAATGGGCTGGTAAACATCCATGGTTGATCTTAAGACGTGTAATGATAGATGAGTATTTTTTTGAAACATTAAATAAAGATATATGGGGAACCGGTTTTGGTAAGTCCTTATGGATTAGAAAATAGGGGTTAGTAGAATTTAGGGCTATCTCTGTCCATTTTTCTTTCCATTTTTTGAGTATATATTGTTTATAACCACAAAATAAATCACTATAATAAGGAATTTGTACAAATTCTCGCTTCTTTGGCTGACACATCTGCTTTTTCGTTTCCGTAAATACCACTGTGGCCCTTTACCCATGTAAATATAACTTTGTAGTTCCTTACCCAGCTAACACAAAAACATCCCATCTACGTTAATAAGCTGCAATTTTAGGCTCTTTAAGCTCACATGCGATGTACTTTTAATGTAATCCTAATATCCCTGCAACCACCGAATGTCCGCAACGGCAAGACTTTTATAGCACATCTCACAGAGGTTACAAAGTGAAGTTCGGAAAACATCACACTAGCACTTTTAAGGTACTTACCCTGAAAGTTGCTCGAAACTTTCTATAGATGTTATAATATGAATTAGTTCTACAGCATTATACAGTGTGTCCACGGATGGACTTTACTATACTTGCGAAAATATTTATTTTAAATTAAAAAAGTAATTCTTCATAATTTCTTTTACTTGTTAAATAAGTTCAATTCACATTAAGAAATTATGAAAAATAACATTTTTTAATTTAAAATAAATATTTTTACAAGTATAATTAAGTCCATTCATGGACACACTATATTGTTCTTTGTGTAATGTAATACAGAGAGGCTGAAATTGAGGTATAGTAAAAACTTAAACGAGACATGGAAATTTCAAATAAAACAAAATATTTATATAAATTTATTAAAATGTTCTTGAATTCAAGTAGTAATATCACAAAAGTAGAGGTATATTACAAACGTTACAAATGTGCGATAGTAGAAGCCACCTATAAAGCACTGAACGATTGGACAAAATTTGCTTAATAATACAGGGTGTTTATTAATTGAGTGCCGATACTTAAGGGTGTGAATCCTTGGGTGATTTTAAGAAGAAAAGTTAACATCAACATATGTCGTAAATCTCTTAATTTTTGAGCTGCAAGGTGTTACAGTTTTAAGAAAAAAAAATATTTTTTTTTCATAATTTTCTTATCACTGCAGATATTTCTATGAAATTTTGTAAACACCTTCTAATCATTAAGGAGCATTTTTTGACGTATAAGATTTTTTTAAATTTTTACCAGTGACTTCCGTACGGGGTTTGAACTGAATATTTTTGAAGAAAAAAATGGTACGCCACTGCTTTTTCTAAAATCCAAAATTATTTTTGAAATATTCATTTATTTTTGAGCAAATTTGGCCCATAGACTTGCTTTCGTACGATGCACTGTGTTAGCGTAAAAAAATAAAAACCTGTTTTGGGGCAAAACTTAATTTTCTACTTCCACCAGTGACGGCCACGTAGGCATCATATTGAATATTTGGATAGAAAAAAAAACGTACACCTCTGATTTTTTTAAATTCTATGTATTTTAAAAATCGGGATTTATTTATAGTAAAATGAAAATTCAAAATCTTGAATCTAAAACGAAATTACAAGAGAATACAAACAAAATAAAGAACCCAAATTATTTACAGTAATTGTTGGAAGTGTCCTCCACCCACACGTATGCAAGCATCTACTCTTCTTCCTGGGGTGTTTCTTATGGTTTGGCAGCAGACTGTTATACGATTTCGTAACTCTTCTTCGGTTTGAATCGGCACTGCGTACACTAAGCTTTTCAGATGCCCCCAGAAAAAGAAGTCTAAACTATTAAGGTCGGGAGATCTAGGCGGCCATGACTGCGTTCCTCCGCGACCTATCCACCGATTGCGATAGGTGTGATTTAAAAATTCACGCACTCGTAAGCTAAAATGTGGAGGCGCACCATCGTGCATTAGCCACATCTGGTTTCTTAATAAAAGAGGAAGGACTTCAAGCATTGGCGGCAGATCATCCTCAAGGAAGTGTAAATATGATTGTCCATCAAGTCTTCTTGGGAGAAAAAATGGGCATATCAAATAATCATCAATAGTGCCAGCCCAAACATTTAATGAGAACTGTTCTTGATGATTTGACTCAACAATTGCATAAGGGTTTTCATCCGCCCATAAATGGTTATTATGGAAATTTATTATTGAGTTTCGAGAAAAATTAGCTTCATCGGTAAAAAGAATGTGCCTGTCAAATAATGGATTTTCCAGCAGGTTTTGAAGAAACCACTCACAGAAATTAATGCGCAACGGGAAATCTCTAGGGAGTAATGCCTGGACTCTTTGAATGTGATATGGGTATAACAAATTTTCGATGAGAATTTTCCAAACAAGTACATGTGAAACATTAAATGTTGACGCGATTCTCCTCGTGCTAGTTTCGGGATTCTCCTCAATTTCATGTAAAATTCCTTCTTCAAGTTCCGGTGTTCTTACTGTTTGATGGACTCCTTTAGCCTTGTGGTCTACTTTTAAAGTTCCGGTCTCGTGAAGACGTCTATGAATCCTAGAAAATGTTCTCGGATCGGGTAGTACGCGATTTGGATACCGCTCTTGGTATATCCGTCTGGCTTCGTATGCATTTCCGTCTGCAAGCCCATAACTAAAATGCATGTTAGCTAATTCACTGTTCGTAAAATTTACCATTTTTTTTTTTCAGATTTTAACTCTTACTTAATAATAATTATTTAATAATGTAAAATCAATGTCAACTTTATTGTCTTTATGAAAAGAAACGTAAAAAATGATGACGCTTTACCGAGCCTACTAATGTTTATTTCATTTGCTTTAAGAGGGCAATAATGCGCTTACCATTTTTTTCTATTCAAAACGTAGAAAATTAATTTTTGTCCCAAAAAAATGTTTCCACGCATGGTGGGTGCCTACCAGATTTCAACAAAATATCAAAGCAGTAGGTATCAATGAATTTAAGGAAAAAAATTGACCAACCACTACAATGGTTTTTATTTTTGTACGCGAAAACGGTGCATCGTACGAAAGTAAGTCTATGAGCCAAGTTTGCTCCAAAATAAATAATGATTTCAAAAATAATTTTGGTTTTCAGAAAAAGCAGTGGCGTACCATTTTTTTCTTCAAAAATATTCAGTTCAAACCCCGTACGGACGTCACTGGTAAAAATTTAAAAAAATCTTATACGTCAAAAAATGCTCCTTAATTATTAAAACGTGTGTACAAAATTTTATAGAAATATCTGGAGTGATAAAAAAATTATGATAAAAAATTAATTTTTTTCTTAAAACTGTAACACCCTGTAGCTTAAAAATTAAGTGAGTTACGACATATGTTGATATTAACTTTTCTTCTTAAAATCACCTAAGGATTCACACCCTTAGGTATCGGCACTCAATTAATAAACACCCTGTATAATAAGGTATCAATATTGCAAAGGTTCACTAGAAGCTTAAACAGTGAACGATTGTACAAAAGTATAATTATATAAGGTACGTTTCAAGATGGCAATTGTATGATGCTAAAAAACTAGATCTGTGAATAATAGATGATTGCAACAATGACTAGGTATATATTATACGAGATAGCTGAGTTCCCAGATTGCTTACCTGTACCCGCAGCGATATCATTTTTTTAAAATCAAACCTTTTAACAGGTAGATTGTATAAGTAAAAATAATATTAATATCTAAAATTTTAACGTAATACCTTTTAATTTGTGTGTGGCTGAAGGACTAACTTCCATTGCAAAAAAAACCTTCTAACTTTTTTTTTGCATAGATATTTATATATTTTTATTTTGTTAGTTTATTTTTTATGCAAAGGTGGACAAAAATTATTTTATTCTAACTACATGAGGCTTGGAAATATTTTTTTATTTTTGCTATAATGTAACATAAATACAGAGTGGCCCAAAAGTCTGGAAACGGCCAATTATCTCGTAAATTGCTAGTCCTAATTGTACAAAATTTGGGGTACACCTATTTCGGGATACGGAAATTCCAGATTTGATATTTGCAATGTTGCCAGATTTACCGTTTTTCTTATATTATTAGTCACTTTGGTTTTTCAAATTCATCACCCTGTATGTTAAGTTATTATTGGAATCTCCTATTTAATACGAGTTTAATTATATGTAATACTTATGATTTTATGTAGTCTAGAAGGTCTTAAATAAATAAAACAGAAGTCTGGCAACGCCTAATTGTCTCATAAAT